GTGTGTGTCTGTGTATCTATCTGTGTCTGTGTGTCTGTGTATCTGTCTGTGTCTCTGTGTGTGTATCTGTGTGTGTCTGTGTGTCTGCGTATCTGTCTGTCTGTGTCTGTATCTCTGTGTGTGTCTGTATATCTGTCTATCTGTGTCTGTGTATCTGTCTGTCTCTGTGTGTATATCTCTGTGTGTGTCTGTGTGTCTGTGTATCTGTCTGTCTGTGTCTGTGTGTGTATCTGTCTGTGTGCGTGCACCCACATGGTCCTTGTCTTATGTTTAGTCCGTTGCACCCTGGGTCCTTTCAGGCTGAGTTGTTGTGGTGTTTTGTGTTTTTTTTTAATTCCAGGAATTGTTTTTATTTTCACAAATTTTTAATCTTCATTTTCATTTTTTCTCTCTCTGGGGTACACGCAGTCCAGATGTTAACACATCTGTTCTGTCTTAGACTCAGATCTGGTGCTGGGCCCTGAGCTGGCTGTGGGTGGACTGGCCCCTGTTCCCTGAGGGAGGGTGCCCTGAAGGAGGGGCTCTGCCCAAGGTGAGAGGTGGGCACAGGTACAGGGGTCCTGGAGGAGCTCTTGCTCATGGGGCTGGGAGGGTAGAGGAACTGCCCTGGGGCCATGGGTGACATTAACAAGGAGGCCCTGGGTCAGCTTTTTCTGTTTCCCCTATGGGGAGGGGAGAGAAACATACAGACAGAGAAAAGTGAAGAAACTTCTGGGGCCTGAGCCTGTGCAGACAGAAGGGAGGACAGGTTAGCAGGCAGACAGACAGCACCCAAGTGAGCAGGGTCAAGGTGTCAGTCTAGCCTGGGAGCTTGGCTTGGACCCTACCCAGCTGTCCTCTGCTAGGCCTTCTCAGAGGTTAGTGGCCTTGGCCCTCTACCCCACCTTGTGCCCCAGACCCTTGTCTGTAACATTGAAGGATTTCTGCCCTGAGAGGGGCTGACATCTTCAGAGGCTCACAGGTGCCTGCCCCAGGCCACTCGGTCCTTGGGACCACCTCGGTCCTCGGGCCACCTTGGTCCTTGGGGCCACCTTAGTCCACAGGCCTGAGAGCTGGTCTCCCATGGGTGCTGGCCCAGGGCAGGCTACCTGAGCTCCTGGGGTGGTGTCTGGGCTTTCCCAGGGTGTGCCCTCTGCACCCTCACACAGTTTTAATGGCCCCTGAATGGCCCCTGGCTGCGTTCCCAGAGAGTCACTGTTTACTTGATGACACTGACTGAACGTGACCTGAGTTGCTGTGGCTCAGGTCGGAGTAAGAGGGAAGCCAGGTCTTCGTCCTGATACGAGAGTGTCACTCTGGTCATGAGAAACGTGTCCCAGGCCTAACCCCTCAAGGACACCACTCGTCTTCAGAGTCCCACTTGGAGGCCTACATGGACACTTCCAGAGGAGGGCAGTGGGGCCTCTCCAGAGGAGGTGGTGGGCAAGGGGGCGGGTGGGCGGAGCATCCGGGTGGTGGTGGGCAGGTAGTGGTCAGTGGAGTGTCTGGGTGGTGGTGGGTGAAAACGTCCGGTGGTGGTGGGCAGAGCGTCTGGGTATTAGAGCTAGTGGTCAATGGAGTGTCCGGGTGGTGGTGGGCGGATAGTGGTCGGTGGAGTGTCTGGGTGGTGGTGGCAGGGACAGCTGTGCCCCCACAGCCGCCCTGCCTTGCCCAAACTGCTGTTTCCCAGTATTTCCCGTGACTCCAAGATTCCTGGGAAGAACGTACCCTCTCCACCTTGTCTGGCCACTGAGCCCTCAGGCTGGGATGAGGGACAAAGCCTCCGAACAGAAGGTCTTTTCAAGGACCAAGAAGGCAGGGCTGGGAGGATGAGAAAGTTTCTAAGGGTGAGAGGTTGGGAACCTCAGGTGAAATGGGGGGACCTCAGGTGAGATGAGGGACCTCAGGTGAGGTGAAGGGACCTGAGATGAGGTGAGGGGATCTCAGGTGAGATAAGAGGACTTCACCAATAAGAGGAAAGAAGGGACACGGGGGCCGTGTTGAGACAGGTACTGGGCACTTGTCCAGAGATAAGGGTGTCTGGGCACTAAGCAGCCCTGAGGTAAAGAGGAGGCACCTCCTAGTGGCCTGGCCCTTCACTGTCTGCCTGCGGGGAGACAGCTAGGTGATGGTCAAGGCTGGAATGGTGATGGCTAGTTCTGGAGGGATGGTGGACAATCTGGGGGTGGGTGAAGCTTGGGTCTGGAGTAAAGCTTGGGTCTGGGGTAAAGCTTGGGTCTGGGGGTGAAGCTTGGGTCTGGGATGAAGCTTGGGTCTGGGGTGAAGCTTGGGTCTGGGATGAAGCTTGGGGTCTGGGGGTGAAGCTTGGGGTCTGGGATAAAGCTTGGGTCTGGGGTGAAGCTTGGGTCTGGGGGTGAAGCTTGGGTCTGGGGGTGAAGCTTGGGGTCTGGGGTAAAGCTTGGGGCCTGGGGTAAAGCTTGGGTCCGGGGTGACTGGGAGGGAAACGGTGAGTCACGGTTGGATCTAGTCCACTTCTGTTCCGTTTTCCTGGCCTCAGTCTTTGGCGTTTCCTGTTTGGATTCACATGAACAGTATTGTCCTCCTATTGTTCAGCCTGAACCACTGGCCCCTGTGTCTGCCTCTGTCCTGCTGACCAGAGAGTGTTCAGCCTCCAGAAGCTTCCCTGCCTTGGTGAGTTGTCAAGCCCACACCCTCATCAGGACGGGCTGGCTCTGCCTGGGACTCACAGGTAGACACGTGGAGAGGATCCAACCTGAGACACTGCAGACTGCCCTCAGCAGAAGTCAGACCCCTGCTGCTGGGTGCAGGGTGCATCAGCCAGGATCAGGCTGTGGGTCCTGGCCTGTGTCTCCTGCAGGCAGCCTGGTCCCTTCTGTAGACACTGGTCACCTGTGCCAGCATTGTGGCCTTGAGCATCTGTTGAAATTACTAGAGCCTTTTAGAGTTTCAAATAAATGAGCTAATTGATAAGTAGGAATGTTTAACAAAGAATGAATTCAATTTACATCACCCAACAATTTTTTTAAATCACTGATGACTTTTAAGGAAATTTTTTTTTCAATCTTCACTTTTTACAGGACTGTAGTTTGACATGTCATTTCAATAATTCCCTGGTGCTGGAGCTGGGCTGCATCCAGGCCACGGACCCCACCAGTGCCTGCAGATCATTGCCATGGTACACAGCACAGATGCTGTCTACTTCCAGAGCATGCATCCCTACCAGGCCCTTCGGACCTCAGGCCAGTGCTGGAAACTGAGGCTTGACGCCAATGTGGTGTCGGGGGTGATGAGCCCGCAGGATCCTACCCAGCATGCCCTGCACAGTGGGAGCTGAGCATCCTGGACACCCCCTCTCCAGGGGCAGCGTGAAGAGCTGGTGCCCACAGACATAGACCTCAGAGGCAAGGCTTCACCATCCTCTCCTGTTCACCCTTGGTCTCCAGGGACTCTGAGTAGGAGGACCCAGTGCGTAGGTTGCTCTTGTCTGTGCGAGGCCAGGAGTCAGCATCATTGAGACTGGGGCTGGGAGCCAAGAGAATGCCCGAGAGACTTGGCTCCAGAGGAGGGGTCCCATGGCCAGCTCTTCAACCAGGACCCCAGAGTTGAGGGACAGGGAGTTACGAAGCCTGGCTGCCACAGGACAGAAGCTGGGGAGGACAGAGGCCACTACCCCTTCTCCAGGAGAGCCACTGCCAAGGCTGGGGACCTGTGATGCCCAGAGGAAGAACGGGGCCACTCTGGGACTGGGAGAAGGCCCCTCTGGTGCTGGCAGAAGCGACCCAGAGAGGTCTAGTTTTCAGAGTTAGAGACGTGACCAGGGACAATTGCCAAGCTGGTGTGTTAGGTGGCAGGCGGGCTGTGGGACTGGCTAGCCTTGCCCTGCTGTGTGGCGGATGACCTTGTGCAGCACAAACACTGAGGGCTCTGGGTCCACAGAGGAAGGACACTGGGTTCTGTGGTGACTGTGTTGTGCAACTTGACTGTTTCCTTCTTGTTGACTTGTATTTCATTTTGGTTTTGGGTTTTTTTTGGTTTTGCTATTGTTGTTGTTGTGTACCATCAAATCAGATCCGACCGGCACAGGAGATTGCCCCTCCTTCTTCAGTGGAGCTTCTGGTGGATTTGAACCGTGTGCCTTCAGGATTGCAGCGCAGCTTCTTGCCCCTAGGACACCAGTGACAATCAACCCTCAGGAAGCCGTGGGGGTTGGCTGGGTCTCTCCCCCGGGACTAGGCCACCGAGGCCACGCCATCTTTGCCTGTCGTGGGCAGTCTTGTACTCACTTGCTGACCAGTAGTGGATGGTGCACCGGATCCCCCCAGGTCTAAGTCAGCCCGTGTGTACCTTGAGGCTGGGCACTCCACTCCTGCAGTGACATCCTCATCTTCCCGTGTCCATCACAAAACAGACAAGTGGGGGCACCTTGAGGGTGTGTGGTCTCCATCCTTCTGCCTTTGAGAAAAATTGGGGCCCCTCCCTCCAGCATGAACTTTGCCTTCCAAGCCTCTCTCTCAGAATGTGGGATTCGTGAACCTGAACTCGGCCACAGGAGTGCCTGGCTGTACTCTGCTCCAACCTGAGCCCCTCTCAGAGGCTCCCAGGGGGGGCTGCAGGAGGCGGTGATGCACGCACCTGATACTTCAGTTCCTCACAGAGAAGCCAAGGATGTCATGCCAGCCACTCTCTGGGCTGAGGCTGTAGCGTCTCGGCTGTGCAGGGCTTAGTGGGCTCCATCGGTCTGCTGCTCTCTCGTGCTGGGTCCCCACTGTGACTTGGAATCAAGTGTCTCCATTGAAAGCTGGGAACATCCACGACAACCCACAAGGACGGATTCCTACGAAAGCAAGGTCACTGTGTGCACAGGTGGCCAAGTGGGAATGTTCAGACCTCCCAGAATGTCTGTCCAAGTCCAGAAGAGGGGAGCCCTGGGTACCCTGGGCAGCAGGGAAGGCTGAGAGCTGGCCCAGGTTCCCTGTGGCCAGTGACCTGAGCCGGGCAGGTCCTGCTCCAGCCACGTGCCCCAGCCTGTGTTCACTTACCAGGCTGCCCACTCGCCAGCATCCCCTCCTGCCGCTGAGCACCAGGCTCCCAGCGTGACACTGGCTTCTCGAGGCTCAGGACACTCAGGACACCGGCCAGACTGGAAGACCCTGAGCCACTTAGAAGGCAGGGCCTGCTCCCGACTCCTCCCAGCTCCCAGGAGTCAGCCAGCAGCCTGCCCTCATCACGTCCACCTCCTCTGGCTCTTGTGGCCCCGTACCAGTGGCCCTGCCTGATACTCCCGCTTGGCCACCGATCTGGCCCGTAGGAAGGACAAGGTGCCTGGGGCTCAGGAGATGAGGAAGCCACAGGAGGCTGCCGTGGGATTGTTCCACACACTTGCTGGGCTGCAGGCCACGGTCTCTCCACACCCCGCAGACCTGGCAGGGGGACTTCAGTGGCAGACGGTGATAGGCACAAGGGGAGGGCCAGGGCCACCTCACGGCTCAGCTGCAGGCCTGCCCCCTTCTGCCTTTGGGGTGCTGCAGCCCTTCCCCCCACCCCGCCCGCACCACCTCCACAGACTGCTGTCTTAAGAGGCATGGAGAGGCCAGCATTAAGGACCCTGAGCACGCTGGCCAGTAGTAGCAAGTGACCCCTCCTCCGGCACCCCAGACCTGGAAGAGAGGGGGGACCTGTGACTCGTTCGTGTCAAGTGCCCTCAAGTTGAAGCCGATTAGGGTGATCCCACAGACAACGGACGGAAGCTTCTAAGAACAGGTGTTGACAGCGGCTTCTCCTCACTGTGAGTGCTGCCACAGCAGCCCCACCTCAAGGACAGTGCTTCTCCAGAGGATCGAAGGCCTCTGGCCACAGGCTTTTCAAGGGGCCTTTACTGCCTAAGTCCTGCTTCTCACTGAGTCTTAGAAGCTCTGCTTGCCCAAGGGTGACCCGCTGGCATTTGAAACACCGGTGTCACAATTCCAGCATCACAACATACCACCACCAAGGGAAGACAGGCTGGCCAGTGAGTGGGGGTGTCCTGCAAATCCAAGCCCACCTCCCCCAAAAGGCCCCCTCGTCCTTCCCCTCTCTTCTGCCCCCAGGCTCCACTCCTCCAGGGCCATCTGCTCCCCTTCCTTCTGTGAACTCCCACCAGCCTCCTCTCCCGCAGCGGCCAGCAGGGAGGGTAGACAGTGGCGGGCAGCCTGTTGAGGGCAGGAAGCCCAGGTTCTGGAGCGGCTACTCCCAGAGGACCACCTCCAGCCCTGGATAAGGCCAACAGTGGATTAACCAGCTGAGCTCGGACTCCACTGGCCCTGAGTAATGTCCCTGGCCCCAACATTCTGGAACTTTCTCACCAATGTTGCCTCCCTCAAGCGCCCACTCACACCCCCCAACCCTGCCGCCTCTGTCACCAGTCACCCCTCCAGGACAGCACCAGCCCCGGCTTCTCCCTGCCTGCTGACCCCTGCGCAGCCTCCCCTGTGGGGTGCCGGCACGCCCCATCATTAATACCACGCTGGCAGCTGGGCGCATTCCCAACTGGCAGGTGGTGGTGGTGAAGTGAGCCAGGCGGGGCGGGCTGCTCTGATGAATGTTCCTGCGTCCCGCTCGGCACCCCAGCTGCCAGGGTCTGTGGAGTGAGCACACAGGAGGGTGGAGGTGGCCACAGGAGCACAACCCCAGGCTTGGCAGAGCTCACTGGTCAAGGTGAGTGCAGGTGGTGAGGGCCACGTGGGTGGGCATGTGGTCAGTGGGGGTGTCCTGCAGGGAAGTGGGTGTGGGGCGCACCAGGTGCCCCCAACACATTAGCCTCCCCACCAGCGTCCTCGCATGCCAGGCCAGCAGGGTGGGCGCTCAGGCTGGGACTGCAGGCCCTAGGGAGCTTGGGGAACATATGGTGGGAACGGTGTGCCCCTCACCTCAAGCTGGCCGATGGGCTGCCTGGGACCAGGAGGGGCTTCACTGTCCACCTCGCACCTCCTGCGGGTATAACTTTTCCTCTGGATGATGCCGAGCTCCGAAGGGCTCTCTTCCGACAGGGAACTGGGTCCCTGGGGGAGGGCAGCGGCCAGAAAAAGGGGCCTCCAGATCCCCGGGCAGACCAGACCTGAGCGGGGCATAATGTGGACTGAAGAAGGTGGTGCTGGGCAGTGCCCTGTCCCTCCAGGGCCTGCCTGGGCCTCCTTGTGCCCAGTGCCCACCGCCAGTGGGATGTTACCCCAATATTCTTACCCTTCCCAAAAAATGAGACTTACTACAAGTTGGCAGACTTGGCGGTGGGCAGCCTAGACCCTCCGCAAGACCCCACCCTGTCTCCTCCGTACACTGCTCTCCATTGGCATTCTCATCTGTGCCCACTCTCCCCTGCGTGCCCCAGCTGACCCTGCCCCACTACCATGAGCCACCTTCAGGGCTCCTCACTCCCAGAGGTCCCCTTGGTTCCACGTGTGGTGGGGGTTGGGGCCATCCTGCCCAGTGCCACAGGCACTGCCTGCCACGCTCGAGCCCACTGTCCTGGCCACTGTACCAGCGGTCATGTTGAATCAGGACAGGCCGTAAAAGGGCATCATGCGGTCTGAGTTAAGCCGAACCACAGTTGTAAGACTTTGGGGAGTTTACAGATGCTCCCTGGGGAGTATTTTGGGGTTCATCAGACTTCTCCAGTCCTCTGTCTTGTCTCCCCACCCATCACACGGAACCTGAAGGTAAAAGCTTGCCAGGGGCCATCAGCTCGGGTCACCGGGAGCCACTGGAGTAACGGGAGTCCGCGTGGCCTGTGGCCTCCAAGGACAGCAGCCTCCTTTGCCTAGAGCAGGATGGATGGCTAGCTGCCATGTCTGCCTCCTGTAGTCAAGGATGGGGTACAATGGGAGATGGGGCTCCCTCCCCACATGCACAGGACAGGGAAGTCTGTGGGTGCAGCACTCCTGAACCCCCCACATGGGCCCAAGACAGAGAGGCTATGAAGGGACAACCCTGCCATCCAGCCAACCTTGGAGACCCAGGTGGGTGGGGTGAGGTGGGCCTGCTGGGCGTCCACTGAGGGACAGCCAGTCCTGGTGGCCTCCTGTCCCCTGGGATAGTTGGAGAAAACAAAGGAAGGAGAGTGTGTCCCCTGAATCCTTATGTGGAGGAGAGAGTCGAAGACCCCCCACCCTCCATGGGCTCACCCCAGGCTTGGCTCATGTGACGCAAGGCGACCATGGCATGCAGTGGTGTGGGTGTGGGAGGCGGGGGCCTGACCCACACCCACAATGGCCATGTCACCCATCCACGGCCCCTCCCATTGCAGGGCCCCAATCTGGAGCTGAGCGTGAGGTGGGGAAGATGGCACAGAGCTCGGAAGGAGCTCCGATGGGCAGTATGGCCCTCGAGCTGGCCACTGGCCCCAACATGTCCTTTAACGGCTCGTGGACAAGCCCAACGGAACCCAGCTTCCTGGAGGACCTGGCAGCCACTGGCACCCTGGGCGCGGTGCTGTCGGCCATGGGCGTGGTGGGTGTGGTGGGCAACGTGTACACCCTGGTGGTCATGTGCCGCTGCCCACGTCCCTTGGCCCCGCTGCACGCCTACGTGGTCAGCCTGGCACTGGCTGACCTGCTGTACCTGCTTGGCATCCCCTTCATCGTGGGCACCTACGGCGCCCAGGACTGGCACTTCGGCGACGTGGGCTGCCGCGTCCTCTTCAGCCTGGACTTCCTGACCATGCACGCGAGCATCTTCACGCTGACCGCCATGAGCAGTGAGCGCTACGTAGCAGTGCTGCGGCCACTGGACTCCGTGCAGCGCTCCGGGGGCTACCGCAAGGCACTGGTGCTGGGCACCTGGCTGCTGGCACTGCTGCTGACGCTGCCCATGATGCTGGTCATCCGGCTGGTGTCCCGCGGCCCCAAGAGCCTCTGCCTGCCCAGCTGGAGCCCCGGCGCCCACCGCGCCTACCTGACACTGCTCTTTGTCACCAGCATCGCGGGCCCGGGCGTGGTCATCGGGCTGCTCTACGGCCGCCTGGCCCGTGCCTACTGGGGCCTGCAGCGGGCCTCCCTGGGGCAGGTGCGGCGGCTGCCCAGTCCGCGGGGGCTCTACCTGATCCTTACCATCGTCCTGCTTTTCTGGGCCTGTTTCCTGCCCTTCTGGCTGTGGCAGCTGCTTGGCCAGTACTGCCCAGCGCTGCCGCTCGCCCCGGGCACCACGCGCCTCGTCAACTACCTGACCACCTGCCTCACCTACACCAACAGCTGCCTCAACCCCTTCCTCTACACCCTGCTCACCAGGAACTACAAAGAGCACCTGCGCCCTCGCCTGCACGCGCCTCGGCCCTCCGGCCGCAGCAGGACCACACACAGCTTCCCTCAGCCACGTGGCCGCTGCCCGCCTGCCACCAGCAGCCAGCAGGCCACAGAAATCATCCTGGTCCCCCGGGCAACCCCCGGGGCGGCCTGCACCTGAGGGTCCAGCCCCTTCCATTGCCCCTCCTTCCCCATCTTCTGGAAGATGTCTGTCTTCTCTCCTTCATCTGAAGATTCCCTGCTCCCCATCACGCATTCCAGCCACATCAACAGACTTCCTTTGGCCAAAACAGCCGGCAGGTGAACTGCCCCCAGGCTGAAGGCAGACAACAGGACGGAGGGCTTTCACTCACTAGCGTCTGTCCCCAGCACCTACAGTCCCGCTGGCTTCTGTCTGGTTTCATCCCCAACACTTCCGCTGCTAGAGCTAGAAACCCACCAGTTCTGCAGGCGCAGACCCCCACACTAGCTGAGACAATGGGAGCGGGAGACAATGAATGGTGGGGTGCCCTCCGCAAGGGGCAGTGGGCCTGGCGAGGCAGATGCAGGTGGGGCCCCGGGCTGGTGGCTGTCCAGGCAGCAGAAGCCGGCCAGTCTGATCCAAGCCAGGCCATGGGCTTCAGGGACAGCCTGGCTTCAGGGAGCAGGCAGGGGCCTCACACTCAGGCCAGAGCCAGATCTTGCATCAACCTGGTTGCCAGAGCCTCCTTCCCAGGCCTGGGGTGTTTACGTGCGATCAAGGCCTGGAGGGCGTCTCAAACCTCCCCTAGACACCTTCTCAAGCTAGAGGCCCTGTTCACCCAGCAGGGAAGGTGACACTCAGGTTAATGGGACCCCCTGGAGGAACCTAGAGGGGACATGTGTGGATGCCAGCAGTAGGACCTCCCTTCAGAGACCCACCCCTGCCTCCCAGAGGGTCCAGAAGCACAATCCCAGGGTCTTGATTTCGCATCATGTCCTTCTACAGACAGGCCTCTGGAGTGTGAGCAGTCCACACCCGGGCCACCAGCCCTACCACCCCATGGCAGGTCAGGTCATGCTGGATCCTGGGGGGCCTCCACACAGAGACGCAGGCGGGATGTCTCGGCCAGGCCCTGAAAGTCAGACAGGCCAGTGGGACTCACACTCTGCGGGGTCAGTGGGTTTCTGTCACTGAACAGAGCAGTCTTCAGAGATGCGCACCACAGCCTGGGACCCCAAATGGCAGTGAGACCCCATAAAGCAGACCGGAGTATCTTAGACCAGGTTCTGTCGGAGTAAATCATACAGGAAGAGACTGCCCATCTTACACCCATAGAGCAGCTGGTGGATTTGAACTGCGTGCCTTCTCGTGAGCAGCACAGCTCGTTCACCCTAGGCTTCCAGAGCCCCTGTGTGTAGACCAATAGTTACTTCAAGGTGAAGCTCACAGGCAGAGAGGCTGGGAATCCCTGAACCCAGGGGTCAGAGATTAGGCTGCTGGCCTAGGTCCCAAGAACTGGGGGGTCAGATGGAAGGATGGAGACCACTCTGCCACAAGGTCCATGACGGAGAAAAGGCCACACCCCCAGGAAACTGACCATCAGCCTTCCTGTCAGATCACAAATGGAAGATGGGGCATCACAGAGAAGCAAGTTGTCCATGCCTGCTGACCACTGAGAACCAGCCACAACAGTGACCATAACATGAGCTGGCACGGGGACCCCGGTGAGGTGGCCCCAAACTGTGAAGTAGAGCTCATTTAAAATTCGTGCCGATTAGAAGCCCTGTGTTTGAGGATAGAGAGTCCTGCTCCACGTCCACCAATGAAGCCTTCCTCCTGTGTCCACTATCACAGACACCCTCCCACGTCCACCAACACAGACGTCCTCCCACGTCCACAACATAGATGTCCTCCCACGTCCACCAACACAGACGTCCTCCCATGTCCACAACATAGATGTCCTCCCACGTCCACCAACACAGACGTCCTCCCACGTCCACAACA